GACGCGGTAGGGGGGGTAGGCCTCCCGGTTTGTTTGTTTTTTGCACTTTCGGGGTTCGATGAACGAGGCCCACCACCCCGTAGTCCGCAACAGGCGCGCGCGCCCCCCAGGGTCGCGTTCAATTTTTTCGCGCCACGTGGCGCGCAGCGCATTTGAATGCGATTGAACGCGGCCCCGGGGGGTATGAACGCGCGCGTTTGAACATGAACGCGCGTTCAGCGCGTTCAGCCGGCTACATAGCCTGAGGATGCTCACGCCAAGAGGGTTACCACTTATTCCACCACCTGTTGCTTCTCCTCCTGGTCCGAGTCGGCGAAGAAATCCATATCGTGCGCAAAATTGCAATCCTCCCGCAAAGCAAAAAACGGTATGCACCGCACTACAATTGATGTCACACAAGGTCGTAGTGTGGTGGCCCGATGAATAATATTGTACTATTGCTCTCCTAATGTAGTAGCGGCGTTCAGCGGCCTGTCGACGAGGAGAATGCTTTCATCAGAAGCCATCACCCCCTACCGCCCGTGTGTTCGTACTAATCTGATGGCCGCGAAACAGGTACCTTAGTCCTTGGGACACATACAAAAAAAGAAGAAAAAACAAAGGAAAAATGAAAAAAATGAAACAAATGCGATAAAACTGAAATGAAGCACATGAAAGGAAGAATTCGCAAGAGTGTGAATGGTGCCAGGCAGCAGCTATGAGCGGAGCTATCCCTTACTCCGCACACCTGGCTCTTGTCACCGCGTAAGGGAATGAGTTACTTCCTACGTATGCTGATCAAGCTGCCTGCCGGGAGCGGGCTTCCTTCCCTCTTTTTCTCGGAAAGTAAGCAAACCAGGGCCAAAACTCGAAATAAAAGTAAAAAAGCAAAAAGGTAAACAAAGGTAAACAAGCACGAGGAAGGAGAAACAGAAGAAAAAATGTAAGAAAACAAAAAAGTTCAAGAAGTAAGAAAGTATAAAACAGATTCCACCGCACAGTTAGATCCTCTCCGGAGGTTGCTCAGGCCTTGTGCATCCTCTGTCCGCTTGCTCATGCCTTCCATTGCTATCTTCCTCTGTGTGTGTGTGTGTGTGTGTGTGTGTGTGTGTGTGTGTGTGTGTGTGTGTGTGTGTGTGTGTGTTTGTGTGTGTGTGTGTTCGCACGTGTGTGTTCATGTGTGTGTGTGCGTGTGTGTGTTCGCGTGTGTGTGTTCGCGTGTGTGTGTGTGCAACGTGCGTGTGTGTGGATATGTGTGTGTGTCTGTGTGTGTGTGCATGTGGGTGTGTGTGTGGGTGGACGGGGGGGAGCGGGGCGACCCTCCCCCGACCCACCAATCAATCAATCAGTCAATCAATCAATCAATCAATAAAAAAAAAAGAGGGTTTCGGCCTTTCGTTTTCTTTTCCCCCCCCCTTAATCAATCAATCAATCAATCGACCAATCAATCGATCAATCAATCGATCAATCAATCAATCAGTCAATCAATCAATCAATCAATCATCAGTCAATCAATCAAACTTTTTTTTTTTTTTGATTCCCCCCCAAAACTCGTGCACAAACCTTTTTTTTTTTTTTTTTTACTTTGGGGGCCAGCCCCCTACATGCACACCCCCCCGACCTCCTCACATGTCATAGCCCCCCCTGGGAAGGTCGCCGAAATAACTGGTACGTTCGTACGTATGGCTCGTACGACCGCCTGGGGGGCTGTATGAACGCCCCCTATTTGTACGGGGAGACACACTGCTGTCAGTGGCTCCACCACTCTCAAAATGTGCAAAATGTGAGTAAATCTTCCCCTAGAACATGGAAAGATACACCGCCATGATAATTGTCTTTTTTTTTGGCGGGGGGGGGGGGGGGGGGGCATTTCTCGATTTATGCGTGTCATCCTGCGGCTGGGGCCATGCTAATCTTCTCTGTATCGTTCCAATTTTGACGGATGTCCCCAAGGACTGATTATTGTCTTTTGTGCATGTCGAGGTAGTAACCGTGTTTTTTTCTGTTTTCCATTTTTTTAGTAATAGATTTTATCCCCTTTTTCTATCTTTTCTTTTTGCATTTTGTGTTTTCTTTGTTTCTGTCTTCTTTTTTCCGTGTTTTTCTCGAAGTACGTTTGGGAAGTTAGCGCCCAGTAGTTCGAGCCTCGGGATGGGCTTGATAGCTGGGCCAAGTACTGGTGGTTTAAGCCTGGGTGAAAGGGGCCCGGGCTCTGTGGCCATAGCCCCCTTGGCCTGTTTTTATGGGTTCATGAATTTTGTGCTGTTTTTGCGCCAGATTCATGAACCCGTAGGCCCCGTCTTTTTCAAAATACCGTACATGCGCCTCATTCTATCCTTCAGCAGTACCACCCTCGGCCTGTTCTACATCAAAATGAATCTGGTGCTGTTAATGCGCCAGATTCAGGATCTGGTAGGGCCCTTGGAGGGACGCGTGGGCCTGTAGTACGCCACATGGAAAACATTGGGCCATTTTTCAGATATTGGAATAGGGATTGAGGGTTGCCTGAATCCAACCTTACGACCCGACGCAGTACATGAGTAAAATACTGCTCATAACTTTTATCTCAGCTAATCTCACCTAATCTCACCTAATCTCACCTAATCTCACCTAATGTCACTTAATGTAGAGGCTATTTCAAGGAATCTTCACTGCGGATTCTCTGCTTTGGTTTTGGTTGTTAAATGTGGAAGGTTGCGGGTTGGCGGATTCTCGGCTTTGGTTTTGGTTGTTAAATGTGGAAGGTTGCGGGTTGTTCATAGAAGGCAACGGAACTATTGGAGATGGTGGAAGACCTACTAGTTGTGGGAACGTTGCTGACCTCCTAGGGCACGACTGAAAGCCATTTACTAGCTCACGAGATAGCAAACTTGGGTTGTACCCATTGAGATCTAGAGTGCCTGGAAGATGGCAGTTCCTACATAGGTCCAAGGGTGCAACGTGGGAAATCTCGTCGCAGCAACCCAGGCTCCCCACGGCTACTAGCTGCTCTGTCAGGCCAGTATGGGTGCTGTCTTCCTTCGGTGGAAATTACTTTACCAGCTCGTTCGGTATAATCCTTTTCTGGAACTTTCCAGACTCCTCTCTAGTTCACAATCTGTTATTTTGCTTAGTTCATTGAATTTGGGGTTTACCCGGTTTAGTCATACCAAGACTATTCTAATTTGGAATGGCAAAAAAAAGAGCGCGAGCGCGTGGGGAACGAACCGGCCGACGGGCTCGGCGGTCTTGGGACCCAACGCTTCGGAATTACCAAGGAAGACGGACGACGTTGACTTCGCCACTGAAGTCTGCTCGGAGGTCAGTCAGCAATGGAGCGATCGAGATTGACTGAAGGGGCAGGTGGAGGGGTAGGTGAGATGGTGGCATCTCGTGGTCAGCGTGAAGAAGGCGTCTTCGCGCATGGAACAACACATGTGGAGCTTCTACAGCAGATAGGCTTATCAGAGAATCTTCAACATCAAGCAGAGGAATGGGTGGCTGAGCTGGAAAACACGCAGCAGCATATGCAACAGATTGTGGGAGACTTGGCCTCCGTGGCCCGGGCTGGGTCGGTGGTGGATTGGGGGGGTTCTACCATGTCCACATGGCTGGAGGACAAGTGCCAGCAGCTGTCAACTATCCTCTGGCAGATTGTGGAGGATCCAGAACTGGAGCCTTTTGTAGATTGGCAGCGGGCTGACACTCTGATAATGAATTGTAACATGATCTACAGCGACGGAGTTGATTACTACGATGAATTGAAGGAGAGGCTGTCAAGTGAAACATCTACGAAGGCGCGTGAGACTATGATTTCAGCATCAGCGACAATCAACACGATGGCGCCTACTTCGCTACTTCCATCTGCAGCAGTACCGGTGACGTATCTACCATTATCAACATCAGCAACGAAAACTTCGTTTCAAATGACGGCAACAAGGTTTGCGGACGTGGCTACCCACAAGACTGCCAGCTGCTACAACGACAACAATAACAAAAATTACAAAAGCAACGACGCTGTGGTAAGGGCGATTGGACATCCTCTCCCCCCCCCCTTTTTCCCTCCCTTCTTCCTTGCCTTCTCGTGCTTTTTTGGGGTTGACGGGGGGGGAAGGGCGATTGGGCAGGTCGAATGGATTGTTCGGCAGACCAGAAGGGTGGGCGGGGGAGCGAGAAGTGAGATGGTGGAGTAAAGGGGTGGGATAGCGACTGTCAGATCGCCCAGGGGGACAGGGTGGCATGTGACTGGTCTGTTTTGCCATCCGACGCTGGCCACGTGGCAACAGGGCGGGTAGGGTTTGCCCTGGTGATCGATCAGCAGTATGTCATGTGGAATATATGATTTTAACTTTTAGTGTTTCCGTAATCTGGTCACGTGGCAGGCGGCTACTCACAAGACTGTCGGTTGCTACAACAACAACAATAATAAAAGTAACAAAAGCATTGATACTGTGGTAAGGGTGATTGGGCATCCTCTTCCCCCCCCCCTTCTCCCTCCCCTCTTGCTTCTCTTCTTACGTTTTTCAGGGGTTGACTGGGGGGCAGGGGGGCTTGTGATTGGTCTGATTTGCCATATAACGCTGGCCACGGGGCAACAGGCCGGGTAGGGTTTGCACAGGTGGTCGATCACTGATTGGCACCGTTGCCTGTGCAATTGATTTCTGTTCTGTCACGTGCGTATTGTGAGCTTCCTTTTTTCAATTTTCCATAAACATAGATTTTCACCGCATAGCAGGGTAGGAGGTGCAGTGGTGTTAGGCATCCTGGGTTGTATACGTCGTTGTTCTGCTCCCCTGCTACGTGGGTTACGTGGGTATTTTGCCTAGGATCTGTCTGCGATAGGGCTTTCCCCCAGTTGAGTGGTTGGGAGTTAATTACGATCGTAGGGGGAAGCTCAATATAACTACTGATAAACTGCAAAATTGTTTCGCCCTGCAATCAAGTTCTTGCCTTACTCGAGTCCCCCCTCGGAGCTTGATTAAGCACACAACGGGGTTAATCCTTCCCTGCCCGGGGAAGCAATCAATGCCCCGTGATTACGTTACAGTTGTGTTATGCAGGGAAGCTGTCTCCAGGGGAGCAGTGGCTGAGGCTCTTCCAGCCCTAATGGGAAGAGGCGTGGGTATAAGCTTGTAATCAAATCCGTAATTGGAGCCTTGGGCACTGGGCCCTTTTTGTTTAAAAAAAATAAAAAAATAAAAATAAAAATAAAATAAAAAATTGGAATGGCGGTTTTCCTCTTTTTCTGGCCACCTGCATAGCTGGACTCATAGGCTTGCTACAGATTTGTTCGAATTAGGTTACTGGACTTTACTGCGCTTCAGGGAATTGTTTTTGAGAAGCTTCTTTGAGATAAGAGAGTGAGTAAACGGGACACCGGACCCGGTTTCGAGTTCTACCTGAGCTGGGTAATGGCCCCAGTATGTTCATCCGGGTTGAATTGTGAGGCCCCGGGCGTTTTTT